TCCGCCCGCACCCCCACCCGCTCCTGAGGAATCTAAGCAAGATTCCCGGATATTCAGGATCATTCCTCGATCACCCTGGATCCCCCTTGCTTGTCCCATCATCAGCTACGCATCAACATGCCTGATCCTGATCATAGTCCAATTGTTCCATGTCAACGCGTCATATCACAGCCAATGTCGCCTCAACCGGTCACCTTGGAATCCAGCTTGACCCCTGTTCCCTCAAATCAGATCAGATGACCACAACCGCTCTTCATGCATTGCCCTGTCGATCACTTTTTCCAGCTCTCCTGTCCCCATCAATTTGCCGCCGCCTTGGATTGAAGTTGAAGCGGGCCTTTTCAAGTCACTTCAAAGATCCAACAAATTCAGCCCTATTGTTTCTGATCGCTGCTATTTTTAGGTACAGATTCGTCAATCAGTCAACTAACATGCGGATAATCAATATGGACGTCAACCTCTATAGCATGTCATTCAGCTGTCAAATCAAATTAGATGGTTATTGCAACATTTTATCGCACTGACGCACATGTCACCTCTAAACAACATGCCATCCCACTAGGAAAAAACAGGCCAGATGACACAGTCCTGACATGGTCTGCTCAAAATCCAACTGTGTGCTTTCGGCAAATGTGGTCCCGAAAGTACACAGTTAGTATACACATTAACACAATTTCAACCCTGTACCCTCAAACAACTGTGTAGAATACACGGTTTCCTAGGATGCGCGGCTAAAACTGTGTCAGTGCGTTATTAACTGTGTACTTTTGGGACCACATTTGCCGAAAGTGCACAATTGGATTTTGAGCAAACCGTGTCAGGACTGTGTCATCTAGTCTGTTTTATACCAGTGTCCCTCGTCATCCAGCCCCTGACACTGCCCCTCGCCATCCATGACCGCCTCATCGAGGCGTTGGCAACGCCCTCCTGACTCGGTCCCACAACCTCCCATCCAATCGGGCGCACGCCATCCTTTCCGCCGCCCGCGATCACCTGACTTCGTCGTCGCCTGCTTCCCCATGCCTCTGCCACGGGCGCCAGCGCTTCGATCGCGTCCGCCACCACATAGCATGCCCTCGAATCCAGCACCGCGCCTCGCCGTCCGTCACGCCATGGGCTCCAACATCCCTTTGGCCGTCGCAGGTACACCTGGACATGCAAAATCCACGCAAAGCGCGTGAATTGCGGCCGTGCGGGCAGCACCGCCTGGCCCGTCTGGCTCCGCCATGTCATCAGGGTCCTCGAGCCTTGGCAGCCATGCCCTCGCAACCACGTTCAAGTGCGTCGCTGCAGGCCGCCACCACCGTGTGTGCGCCTCTGAGGTGCCCCGCGACTCGGAGTCCAAGGCTGCCGTACGACACTGGAAGCTGCCATGACACGTGACACACGACGGCAGGTGTGGGCGCACACCCCAAGGTACGGGACGACGCCCGTACATTCGTCAGTATTAGGCTGGCGTGGGTGGCGTGTACTCTACACACGGGTGTGACATGAAGGGTGGGGGCGGGCATAGCAACACACGTCAGCCAATCAAGCTGTCATGTTAGAGATTCAGCATTAGGTTTAGGGCAAATCCGGCCTATGACGGGCATGGGCGACCTATGGCGGCCCTCTTCTGTGCTTTCAATCGCTTTGTAGTTTTGTATCAAGTCTATTTTCCTATTCCATTGTCAAGCTCTTTTCTTTGGACCTTTTATAGATAATGCACATGCTCAATACATTATTCCCCGTAACTATCAATCAAAGGCTAATCCTACAGCGATGCCAGCGCCTGCCCAGGGCCTGCCATCGCATGGCACGTGCCCCTGGCTGGTATAATGGCTTCTTTTGAAGTTCCATTGTACTCATCTAAACGGACGCTGTTGGGCATTATCATGGACCTACGGCAGCAATGATGCATGCATCTTGCCGACAGTGCATTCCATGATATGGCATTCTACTGCACCAATACTTTGGGCGCTTATGGATTGGGAAATGAGCACCCAATCCAAGCGGCGATCCAGCGCATGGACTGACTATATACAGCATTTGCAGGTCTGCTAGAATGAAGTGAATGTTAAGTTGTGTCAAACCCCGTCTCTTGGCTGTCTTGTGTTTTCAACTTTGCCCTTCGCTTACAATTGCTTATTGTGACAAAACATTGCGATTCAACTCCCTGGCATGTACAGGGCTGTCCTTACTTAACCGCATTCTAATGGCCATCTGTTTTTTCCTTTCAGTCATGCTGATATGCCATTCTCATGGAATGCATCCATGGCACACAAAACCATGACAAATGTTCCTTTTTCAAGTCATGGTTAGTGACCTATCTTGCTGCAACCAGATGGAGTCCGTTTCACATTGCAAAGACTTGTCACTTTATCGATACCTGGCAATGGAATATGTCCAAGGAGCAGCCTGTCATAGGTTGCTTTGCTCACAATATGCCTTCAGCGTTCATCGAGACCAGATTCACGCCGTTCTCAGACATGCACATAACTCACGCTCAATCAATCTCGCTTACATCTCACAGCAATTCCTTGGTCTCCTTTTTTGCCCCTAAACCACGACCAGATGTCCCATTCTGCCATCGCTACTCTTACTGCCCACATCAAGCCATTACAATACACTCTCCCCCGCTCATATTCAAGGAACATTCCAGCTACTACCATCAACTTTTTCAGCCATTTGCTTCCCATATCGCCGCGCCAGAACCTTCATGTCCCCCTGGAGCTCCAAGTCAGGCATTCACCATCTCAGCTTGGGTGTCCTGCATTCCTTTCAACTGACTTCTCTTGTGCATGACTCAGCAGTGCTGCACATCAACGCTCTTTGAAAAATGTAAATTACTGAAAAAGTTGACATGAACTCACCATGTCCAGACACCTGACGACTCTGTTGATATCTACTCACGCATGTGGAATATTAACTTCGTCATTCATTGTCCTTTCCAGGCACACTCAACTATGCTTTCTTTTTCTTTCTACTCTTGTATTGGTTTACTAATCCTGACCAGTTCCAGTCAGACGCCCTGTCTGTCATCAGAACACATTATATTATCATGACGATCATTATATTTAAGACATTTCTGATGGAATCTTCATGAAGAAGATGAGCGCGTCCACGGGAAGGCCCCACAGGCGAGATCAGCGGACAGCCCGCTTGCCTTGGGTCTAGTACCGGCACTGATCCACTCATTGCAAAACAAACTGGCGTTCAGAATTGTGGTTGTGAGCAGGAGGCAGCCTCATGTGCACCATGCTGACATGCGAGACAACCAAAATCTTACGATGCAGGAAAAACTCTTATAACTGAGGATAAGGGGAAAAAGCAACATCCAGAAAGCGCCATTGGTGTCCCGGACCCCAGTGCTCCCAACATCCCTTCCAGCAACCATCAGTACAATCATAGTACTGCAATTTGAACACCAGTCACCAGAGGACAGATACACATCCGGCTTTCCTAAGCGGTGACATGAACCGACTCAATCCACAATCCAGGGTGTCACCAGTCAATAGCGCACCTCCCATGTGTCGCAGCAGTCCCACAGCGCAAGGTAAATATGGATTCAGGCCGACGCTGCGTTGGTGCAGGCCAGTGCATGTCATAAGCCAATTCACGAGCGCAGACAAGGCTGAGTACTTGAGACCCACTCACCATTGCCGCCCAGAAATTATGGCGGCTCTCTCCCGGATTACTGCCATTTTTATGTTCGTTGTTCATGATTTGCAGCCAGCGGAATCTTCAAATCATGACCAAATTGGTCAATGTCCTGTCGAAGGAATCTGTGGACGGTGGCTGATGCCGTATGCAGTATCGCAGTGTGCCATCTGTTGGCAGCGCTGTGCGTCGCAGGTGGAGATTTTCACGGATTCAACGGCTGCAGGCAGGAGAGCAACCGTCGAAAACAACCAGGGGTCCACAGAGGCTTTAGTTGGACAGCGTCTTGAACTTGGAATTACGCATGAGTAAACAAAGAACCCCGATTCATACAAAAACCAATTTGCAATTGTTCAATAAGTCACGAAATTCGGAAGCTATTTGGGGCGCCTATTGAAACCGTCCCATTGGTCATCACCACTTTAGATGAGTAACTGATGGCGAATTTGTCTCCTGGTCTCTTGGTCTCAACGTTGCTTCCTTGAAGTTTGTGGTGGCTGCGAGCCCTGAAAAACAAACAGCACAAAGTGAGCTCCATGTCTTTTGTATAAGCTACTGAACTACATATTCCCAGTGGGCGATGAACGCCGGTATTTTCAATCTTCGGTGAAACGCACTGTTCCAGACAATTGAAACCACTGCAAGGGTTGCACATTGTTAATCAGCCGACGCAGCAGTGCTCCAGGGTGCTATGGTTTGTCCAGGAAATTAGAACTCTAAAGGTAAAACTGGAAGCGATACTGCCAGCAGCCAACTCTGGAGACTTTCCACCTTTCTAAACAGCGCTAAGTCGAGAGCACATTCGCAGCAGTAACGTACACAAACCGTTCTTGAAAGGGACCAAACACTGAAATCAAAGCTGGTCCAGTGGGCCGTTTCACCCACCGCTTCACCACCTTCATCTGCGCAAATTCGTGCTCTGCTTCGTCTTAGTGTCGCCATCATCTGGTCGTACGATTTGTGATCTCCGGCAGACACAGACGGCTTGACCATGTTCAATGCCTGGGCGAAGTGTGCCGCGCACACTTGACGGGCCGATGCGCAGTCCGCCATGCCCGGATTGCCGACCGCAAACGCTGCCTGCATGCAACAAGCAAGCCCTGCCCCTATTGCTCACATGGTCCCGACAACGCCCAGGACGGGAGACATTGGGCAGCGCTTGGTCCCCTGACCAACGCTTGACAAGCGGAACGTCACTGCACGTCCATAATCACTCAATGTACCACCACCTGCACCGGCACGTTGCAGTCACCTGTTGCCAAGCATTTTCTTTGAACTATCATTCCTGTCTTGATGCCGACAAGTGGAAACCGCCCGGCGTCTCGAATGGCCTTCCTGCACAAGCGGCAGCTGCAATCTATTCATGCGCAAATTTCGGGTGCAAATGTCCTGCCCTTGTTAGCATGCCTGGCGGTACACACCTTCAGGGCTACAATGCATGCTTCGCGGACCAGTGCAGCAAGGTCCGCCCCGCTGAATCCGGTGCACCTGGTGTCCAGCCCAATCGCTTCGATGTCCACATCAGAGGCAACAGGTGTCCTTCGCATCAGGGCTCTCAAGATTGAAACTCGCCCAGTTGGAGTGGGAAGGGGGATGTAGACGACCTTGTCCAGGCGTCCAGGTCTCAAGAGTGCAGGGTCAATGATGTCAGGCCTGTTCGTGGCAGCCATGATGTACACCCCTTCCCGCGACCCCACGCCGTCCATTTCTGTCAGCAGTTGATTCACAACTCTGACACAGCACAGAACTCCAAGGTGTGCCGCAATCCGTGACAACATTCGGTTGCAGAAAGCATTTTTGTTGTTCTCGTGGGCACACAACTAATGCACAGCTTTTGTGTCACGCTAACATAGCTGGGTCCTACCTGCCTATAGCAAACGTTCGATTTGGCACAACATGTACCCAAAAGAATTCCGAGGTGTGCAATCGTGTTTCAACTTGCCAGCATTTTCTCAACCGCAGGCTTGCAGATTGCAACGGCTTCCCAAGTCATTAACAGCATCATAGTTCCATTCTTGATGCACAACCCAATTGGCAAACGAGACAAACATCCAACCACATAACTCTAGATCCGTCACCACAACTGACGCGCATGTGAAGCCAATAGCTGGATGAAATGCTTGCTAACTGGATGAGAGCCAAGGCAAGCAGAATTCTGACAACAGCGCTGCTGTGCAATAAAGATAGCAAATACTGTCATCAGGCACTGGTGTAAATTATGCTCAACTGCACTCCTCTCACCTTTCAGCTGCCTGATTGTCAGATCCTCGCCGGGGTGCCAATGCATCCATCTCGTCGAAAAACAGGACACAAGGCCTCGCTGCATGTGCACGTCCGAAAAGCTGCCTCACTGCTCGTTCACTCTCACCCACGTATTTGTTTAGCAACTCTGGTCCCTGCATCCCCACACAAAACCTTCACACACAGGTTGTTTCGGCTGATGACGGCATGGCCCTTGGCATTCCTTTAAATTGACACAACACTTTCATCCCGCTGGACCCCACAGATGCACATATCTGCTGGACATAAGAACATGCCTTGAAACAGAACAAGCGCCCTCCGATAGATAATGGCACGAGTGTATGAATATGAGAACCCAAGCTCCCTGAAAAGGAAATCATGCGCTTTCATGCACTTGAGCCATTACAAAACCAGAGCACTGCAAAATTGAAGCATTGCAGCATGCTATTCTCCTCTATCTGTACATAGCTTTCTTTTCACAGAACAGCAGG